ACAAAAGCAGTACCATCTTCCAGGGCACCTTTCCCTTTCAGGTTAAAGAGCCAATCAACATTGATCTGATTGCAGTGAATGGATGGATCCAATATGAATACACCATCTGCTGCATCCATGAAGTGAGATGCTTGAAGCTCATCCATGTTAGAATTAACTCATTTTGATGCTGATTGTAGTGTGGATTTGCATTAACTCTCTTGTATCAAACATTTAGGTTGGCAGTATTCTCCAGCCTATCAACAAACAGCTTGTCAACAGAATGCAAGAGATGAAAAGACACCATAAACAGTTTGTCTAAAGGGATATATTTGCAGGCTAGTTACTCCACTGCCACTACCAACAAATAAGCTTTTCTGGCCAACAGACCCACATATCCCCAGCATCTATGAAGATGTGGTCCAACATTGACCAGGAAAACCTAAAAGGGAAAATACAACTTCAGTGTTGAGAGATCCTCAAGTTTTATTTCAGGCCATGTGCTCTATCATCACGAACAACAAGTTCTACTGTTTAAGGAGGTTGTGATGAAACAACAAAAGCTGAAACTGTGTTGTTTGCACACCAAAAAAATCGCAAAAGTAGCTGTTAAATCAATTTTGGAAAGGAGATTACACCTTGATGCCATTTACAAGACCATGAGGTATGACTTGCCACTATTCTTTCTGGTTGTTAAAACCAATGTGAACTGTATAGGGGTGGGTTCTTTCATTACTCAAAGTGAAACAACAGCTGCAATACAAGAATTGTTAGCAGTCTTCCATGATTAGAATGCTACTTGGAAGCTCTGATATTTTTTGACAGACTTTTGCCAAGAGGAAATAAATGCAATCAAACAAACATTCACAGGTATGGAATTAATGATAAAGATTGAAAATGCACTTTCTTGTGAAAACAACAGCAGTTATTTGGAGGTTGGTTAATCAGTGCACCTGTGTGGTGCTGTAAATTTGTATTACAGATGCATTATTTTCACACTTCTTATAAATACACTAACCAACTAACGCAAGTCTAAATAAAAGGCACCCTTGTATACTTTCACAAATCCAGTGTACGACAAATGGACCCCACACATCTTCTCTGTCAGCACCACTGGTGGGAGAGGTGGCTAAGGAAGACTAAAAATGTAGGTTTTGACTTTTCTTTGTGCTGCTGCCAAATCAACATCAAAGGATTAATTTCAGAAAAATGTGGCTTCCCTGCAGGATGATAGCCTCTGGATGGCAAATCCAAAGCTCAGGAACTGGTAGTGATGATTATTTCACTCTGTTTTTATGGTTTAGCACTGCTGATAGTAAGTTAAACATGGTTTGACATCACTGGCTTATAGAAGAACTTCATGGGGAAAGGAAGAGAAAAGTCATACTGGTAAGTCCTAATTCCTCTGTTCTGACCATTGTCTCTAGCTTAAAACATTATTACTGTGCATATATTTCTTAAACAGGAAACTCTGAACTGTTTCATTTTTAATTTTTTACATACGGTTTAAGGAAGTGCTTCAATTAATTTGCATAACATAGTGATCAGGTATTCGAACATGTGATCTTTGCCATTTTAGTGATGAATGTGGGCATTCAGAACACTTAACCTGTTTGATATTTGTCTTTTTTTATGATATAAAGGAACTTACATATTACCTTATAAATCTTTACACACCATAACTTGATGAGCTCCATGGACAACATGATAACAATATCCCAGCATGTTTTGTGTGTTTCCTTTACAGAAATTCTGTATTATAGTAAAAGAGCCCTTTTCTCAATGGGTAAACCAACTGATTCTCTGTTGGTATTAAATCAAAGGGATTGCTGCTTGGCTGCTTAGCTGATAGTTGTGTCAATTCTGCAAAGTGGACCTTCACCATCATTTCTTCACCAGGCTGTTTTTCAATATTTATGTCATGGAAACTATCATCAGTTAGTCATGAAAGCACTCGAAGGAGCAGCATTGAAGGTAATTAAATAATTTTGCTATTGTTTTTAGAGGGGGTACCAAGTAATTATCAGCCATGATTCATTTGATAGATTCTTTGGATACTTTCCTAAATGAAATGCTTGAAAAAATTTTTCATTGCTAATTATTTTTGAGTAGGGTTATTCGAGTAATAAGACATTTCGTTTCTGGCTAGTTATTACTTTTGAAGAAGGTTACTGATACAAGGTTTGTGATGTTTTGTGGGGTTGCTGAGCCATGAATTTCAGGTATATCCTGTGAAATTCACCAAAACATGCAAAATACTACAATTCCGTTAGAAATCATGCCAAATACACTTAAAACTTACAATATACAGTACCGCACATGGGTAAGTTGACAGTCCCTTGACTCTGGATCCTCGATACTCGCTAACTGCAAGGGTCAAGGCCCAAGTCAAGTTTCAAGACGCTAGAGTTGAGTATCGAAACCCTTGAAACTCAATTCGAGATGTTCAAAGATGGGAAACAAAGGAGTTTTCATGCGATTAACTTTTCACATGATTTAAAATTCCTTTCCTTTAGTTTACTCCATGCAATGAAAATCTGTATGGTGTGCATCGCTGCTTATGGGGCGAAACTTCGCTTGAAATATAACATATGTAACACGTGTCAGAAACATTTTTCTCACACCAAAAACAATGTGCACTAAAAACGTTTACCAGATGAGGGTAAATTTTACCCGAATGGACCAATCAGAGTGCTTTGTTTTTAAGGTTTCCTGCAAAGTAAAATTTACTTGACTGGAGTAAACTTTACCACTAGCAATTTGCAGAACAGAGCACATGTATGGGCTGCATCGGTGCAGAATAATTACATTCTTTCAATTGTAGCTTCCTAAAATCAAATTTTGTGATTTAGAGGTGAAATAGGATCCAAAACAAAAATCAGTGTTTAAATTATCCCTTCTTTCCTGAGAAATAATTCGGTATTTGGTAGAGAAGTAGTTGTTTTTCAAGTACTTGTCGCAATCAGCAAGGATTTCTACACTGCAATACATGATAAATTACATGTTACTTGTATTTCTGAGTTCCAAATGACCAGATGTTATTGTCTGAAAACGTTTGTTTCATTCATCGAATCCTAATAACTCAAAGTGAAACAACAGCTGCAATACATGAAATGTTAGCAATCTTCCATGACTAGAATGCTACTTGGAAGCTCTGATATTTTTTTGACAGACTTTTTTTAATCTTTTGAATTTCTTTTTTTCAAACTTTTCGAAGAACTCCAACGCTACACTGAGCCAAACCCTCCCTCCGAGTAAAGTATGTTATTCGCCGTGGGTAAAGTTTATCTGGAGTAAAGTTTACTCAGAGTAAAGTAAATGCAGAATAAAGTTTACCAGAAGTAAAGTTTTTCTGAAGAATTTTACTTGGAGTAAAGTTCAGCAGGGTTATATTTTACCCAGAGTGAAGTTTACCACGAGTTAAGTTTGCCCGAAGTAAACGCAGAGTAATGTAAATGAAGAGTAAAGTAAACGCAGAGTAAAGAAAACGCGGAGTTAAGTAAACGTGGAGTAAAGTTTAGCACGAGTAAAGTTTACCCGATACTGAATGGTGGCTTTCCTGTGACATCCGATTGAAGGCCATCTGTTTTCCAACTCAAATCTTGCAAAGAGCACTGTTAGGTTTTGCTTCTGTTGTCGCAAAACCTTTTGATGTATTCAAGCGGTCCATATGCTTTCTGAAAATCTTCATTTCCAGATTTGCCGAGTGTTGTTTCTTAATTGCATATTTGGTGCGTACTTATCAGACTAATTTTGAGTAACTTTTCCTTTGTTTTATCAATAAGTTTTATGGAACAAGTTTACTGTACACCAGTAAATCAGCTATGTAATCTAATCGAAGTGTCTTATCTGGCAGCGTTAGCAGCGTAACTTGTAAGTTTGGGATTGTTCATCAAGCTACCGTGACAATGTCCTCCATTATATCCCTTTCCAAAATTAATTTTCTTTGCAATTTAAGAAAACGGTTAACATTTTAAATTGTAATATAAGGTGTGCAGCGTTTCGCTTGCCGTTAATGTGGCACATGTAATTAAAAAATAAATAAGGTTTCAAACCAACCCTCCTTTAATTGGTAAACACCACAAGCATACTCACATCCAAAGTCTATAATTTTTATTATGGTTCTGCGGATCTTCAGGGAAGGAGGGCCGCAGCACAGGACGAAATATCAAGAATCCGTAAACGGAAACGTGGAAGAAATATGTGAAACCGTTGCGGAAACACGACGGTTAACACGCGTTTCCGCTGTCGGTTTGGTGACGTTTACTCGTGTTTCTGTTGCTGCGGTCACAGCGGAACCGTACCACTTTTTTGCATGTTTCCGTCAGGTTTCAGTTGGCGGAAACAAACGTTTCCGCAAGTGTAACTTCATGTTAACATGTGCGGAAACACATGGTAACGTTGCGGAAACATTAATTTTTTATATTTCCGTCGACGTAATCAGACCTAAACGTTCACGGAAATACAAGGTTACGTTCTGGAAACAACGTTTTTCTCTTGTTTCCGTTGACGTAATTAGACAGAATGTCGACGGAAATACTAGATTACTTTTCGGAAACAGATTTTTGTCTTGTTTCTGCTGACGAATTCAGACTTAAAGGGGACGGAAACACTAGATTTTGTTCTAGAAACACTTTTTTTTCTTGTTTCCTCTGTATATCGGACTCTTTCAGCACTCGCTACTCCTGATCTTCCTTTTCCATTGCAGTACAGGTAAATATGTTGTGATCGTGCGGTTTTATATAACCCACACCAGACTTTTACCGTCCGTTTGCGAAATCTATGCTCCACTATGTAAAATCACACATATACAAGAGCTATTTTTTCTTTACAGCTTCAATAAATTTATTTTATTCTTCTTTTCTTCAATCGATCGACCGGTGACAATATTTATTTTTTAAAAAGTACGTATATGTTCGCTCCTCGTCCTTGTCATTTAAACATAACATGCCTGAAATTCCTTACTTCAAGAAAAACTTGCAGTATATATGAAATGTCAAATGTTCTGAAAATGTATGGAATTAGTCGCTGCGGACAGCCCAACGAGGGCCGTTAGTTGGGTGAGGGCGTGGTGATTCATCCTCAGTCCGATTGACACGTGCACTTGTGCACGTGCACTCAGTTAGTCCGGCCAAATACGCCTCATCCAGTTTCGCTTCAATATTTCTCAGTTTGCTCTTCTCCCATGAAAGCTTTTTGATCTTTCGTGGTTTTGGGCCATTCCTTGGTTCTACTGCTTCGTCTTCGCAGCTTTCCTCCGACGACATATAATGTAACGCGTCTGGGGAAGACAGAATTTCTCGTGCCCTTTTCTTGTCTCCATCAGACAGCACTGTCGAATTGTCCAGACAAGACCGTCGTCGAGAAAGTTTCTAAAGGGAATAAATGATCGGGACAGGTGAGAATCTTGTCAGAGCACTACTGAGAAGTCAAATCATTGCTACAGCTGCCATAACTGCCAATTCAGTAACATGATTTTAAGGAAAAGCTCGGTTACGAGGCTAAGCTGATGCTTGAAATAGACAAAAAACACGAAAATCAGCTGCCTCAAGCTCGAGAAGAAAACCATATTGACATTGTTGCAGTTGAACATCAGCGGAGGATGTTATTAAGCAATTGAACACACGCATAGTTGCTACTAAGAAAATATTATTTTATTTCAGTTCTGCCCCGGTAAACCTTACATAGAACGAACATGCAAGGCTTAAAGCAGTACACTTCATGTTCAACAATTCTAAAAACACTATGTTCTTTTATTGTGACTAAAAGGCAAAATTCCACCAAAACTTGAACGTCATAAAAATATGATTCATTTGTGGGTAGAAATTTGTGCAAGATGTTTTGTTTCCTCTCTTGATTTAGTTCGGCTTGTGTATCGTCCATCATTTCATTCTTACAAAACACATGTTAATTTTTTGCAAGTGAATAAAAGGGATAATATTTGTAAGTGTTTACCCTTGGTAGGTGCGAATGCAGGCTTGAATGGAGGTCTAGTGAACAGAAGCGAAAATGAGAACCCAAAGTCTATCGCAAGTCGATCTCAATGAAGTCAAGGTCATAAGCCTTTTGGGATCAGGAGGGTAAGGCTCTGTCTTTGAAACTATGCACGAAATTTGAGTACATTCGCAATGAACAGTTGAGCAAATGATGACACTGTAGTCTTCTACATGGTTTAAAGGCATGCAAGGCTTCTGACAGGTTTCAAACACGTGCTCTCATAACCATTGCATCACTAAGTGAGCCTCTAGTAAATACATTTTTTGCAACTTTAAGCAGAATAAAGAAAACACAGTAGCATTTCTTTACTTTACAAAAGCAAAAGTCGCCCACCATCCAACCCACCATGACTATTTGCACCCAAAAATTTCCGACAGTGTCATCCTGATGGGGAGAATTTGTCTTTCCATCAGTTTTCTGAAAAGATTTTAAAAAACCACGTGCATATTTAAGCTGTTTCAAAGAAGCCATGTAAGATCATTTTAATCGGTTAACAAAACCTGTTGTAATCAAAGTTGATCTGCTTTTATTGATACGATAACTCCAAATGCAAATAGTTTAAAAACTTCCAGGCACTGTTGCCTGATAAATTTAACAAGGCTGCTTCTTTTTTTTGCTGCTCCTTTGTTGGCTGTGGTAGCTTATGACCCACTATAATCTGTGGAAGGGGAAATAAATAAGTAACACATTGGTGTTTTTACTCAGCACTTCTATTTGTGTGTCAAAAAGAAATGTGGATAATGTTTTGATCACTTAACTTAGGCAGTTATGGCCTTCCAATTTTTCAAGATTTTAAGAGGACAAGTACAAGCTATTCGAATCAGGTTTCTATTGGAGCAGGTCAATGAAGCTCATTACCCTCTTCTGGCCATGGTAAATTGCACCTGTGATGTGTATCGTGGAGAAATGAGATGGCTCTGTCTGTAGAGGAAAATTAGAAAAAAAATTGAGTGTGTGCATGGTTGAATGGTCAGAACACTTAAGCTATTAATTTAGTTTCAAATTGTTTGTCATAGTTTTCATTTTTGTTAAGAGAAAGCCGTTTTCCTTTGTTGTTCTAATATTTTAGATATATACTATAGAGATACCTGTAAAATGAGGAATGTTTGTCTTTGCTTGGTCCATTCCATCAACAATCAATGACAAGTATTTCTTTGGCCGCTGTTCTGCTTCCACCCTGTTCTGATAGTACTCTTTCAGCAATGGAATAGATAAAAATAGGCAGTCTCAAACTGCATATGGCTACTGACACAATGTTTTTGTAGCACTGAAGTTTTTAAATGTGCGGATTCTTTTGTTGGAAACGCAAGTCAAGGTTTAAACTAACCAGCCTGTGATAAGTCCTTTTGAGGCTTTTACCTAGATTTTTATGTAACCTGGACTGGGACAAAAGTAAGTGAAATGGATTATAACTTTTACTGTACCTTTGCTGCTGTTAATGGACGTTCCTTTTGAGGTCAAAGTTTCTCTCTTTTGCGCGTCTTTGGTTTGTACAGGCGTTGTTTTAGAAGGATACATGTGCCACATTTTGTGAACTTGGATTCCGGCAAAAACAGATACACACCACAACAATGTGATGGTAATTTGAGATTATGCAAAAGTGTCATAAGTAAGTTCTAAATGGAAAATTAATTTTCCTTAAAACTCAGCACTACAAATTTCATACCACATGAATTGTGATCAAACATTTTGTTGGCCATGAAAATATGTTTTGGGATAGCAAAATTCATGGACAATGAGTACTCAGTGAAATCCTTACAAAGGTATGCCACAGCCTGTGAGATGATAAATTCATGGGTCTTGAAAACTGATCAGTAGTTAATCCAATACTGATTTCATAAGAAGATCATTTTCATGACCCATGGAAATGACTTGTTACAAATTTGTCTACTTGGTGTGTGCAGCATCTAATAATTATCACATGTGACTATTCATCCACTTCTCATCCTACGTATTCTGTGTTTAAGTTAATAAGGAACAAGAAAGGTAAAAATAATTGCCTATCTTTTAGGAAATTACAGTTAAAACTAGTTTTTTTTAATGGAAGAAGTGTCTGGCTGCAGATGGCCAGAATCAAAATAAATTAAAATTTCAAAAATTAAATTATTATAATTATAATAATAAACATTTATAGAGCTTTTAAAAGTATGCATATATTCAAAAGTGCTTTGCATTACATCAAGCATTATAAACTAGCATTTAGCGCTCTCCTGAAAAGAAAAGCTTAGAGCTAGGCTGCCACAGGATCTGATTGGTAATGGCACTTACCAAAAAAAAATACATGCATGTCGAAAATTCAAAGGATGTAAAAAGACATTGTTTGATATGCTATTTAAGATGACTTTTTTTGTTGCTTTTGTTAGAAAGAATAATGTCTCTGGTAATTGACATCGGAGAAGTTGGATGAACAATCTGTAGTATGTAGACACAGCGGCTACATAGATGTGTAAATCTATATGAATTTTGGGGCTTCTTATCCCAAAGTATTCCTAGTTAACTCATGCTACGGAAAATGGAGTCCAACACTGGCCTGATTAGTTATATTTCTGGTAAACTGACTTACTCTTATCTGCACTACTGTAATGTTCATGTGCAAGGAACCACATGGTGTAGTCCACAGTTGCAACTGTTAAAGGTGGTGAAACACAACAGTCCTTTTTTTCTGTCAAAGTTTCTTCCCACCATAGACCAAATGTGAAGTCAAATTGTTCTTCCTTAAATACATTAAGAGCTGTCCATGGGAATTCCTTTGAGGCAGAGGGTTGCTTAAAAAGTCGTTCAATTATTCCAAACTTCTTCTTTCCTGATTCACAGCCAGCAAATACACAATATTAGCTCTTTTTTCTTGTCGGTTGAACACATACAGGCATTCACGGTAGAGTTCTGCTTACCTGCAGTGCTGTGTTGTGAAAACTACAATTTGAAGGCCTGCTTGAAGAGCATTTAAACCTCTCCATAGTGTGGTTGCAACTGACCTCCTTGAGGTCTCCATAATGAAAATGATTAATAAATATATAGATTATAATTAATAATGACAAAGAAATTCCACAAAAGTTTAGAGTTTTAACGAATGTCATCCTATGAATGCAATTTTGAGTTGATAATGTTTACAGATGGAAAGTGAAAATTTACTTTATTTCTTAATTTATTAGCAGCATTTTAAATATAAAAAATATGTGTAGCAATGACAAAGTACATATAGAAATATGAAATGCAAAATTAGCCTTTAGAAAAAATTACAAGATGTACATACATTGTTTATAAAATTGCAGTGCATATTGCATTAATTGCAAATTAAAATTTAAAAAAATGAGAATAAAACATAACTGCAAAACAAACTACATTATTACCTGCAAAAGCTACACAATAGCTCTGGAAACTAAACAAGGCTAGAAAAGGGTATTCCATTGTTCTCACATACAGCCTTGAGTTAAGAGGAAAATTTACCTTCGTCTAGGATGGACCTTTGTATTGTTATTCAAAATGAACATGTTGATGAGATGGATAGATTCTGTATGGTTGGTTGGACTTTATCTTGTTGACACTTAGCCAAAACTGGAGCACAGGTGTTGAACTAATGGCAAAGACAAGGAAGGACTCCAACTCATTGTTAACAAGTTTGATGATGTGGTTTCTTGATTTGTCCATCAATCTTTTCCAAAAAGAAATAAAACTCAAGGAAACAATCCTTGCAATGCTTGCTGTCAATTTTATGGGAAGTCAACAGTCTAGAAGGATACTAGCAACTTCTTAATTGAAGTCATAATCAAGATTGGCGACATCTTCAGAAACCTATTGGGCGAATGAGCAATGAAATCATTGGAACTTATATGAAACCTTAAACAACAATGTCAGGAAAATGACCAGTTGTGTTTACAGATTTACAGTGAAATACACAGTGGATTAAGACAAAGTGTATTGTACCTCCAAATGCTAGAATCCATCTTGCAGCAATACCTGTGGAAATTAAAGAAGGCTAGAAAAGGCTTTTCCATCGATTCCCAGATAGCCTTAGGTGAAGCAGAGAATTTACCTTGTTCTGGGAAGGACCTTTGTTATGTAACGTGAGATGAAAATGAACTCTATGTTGATGACACAAAGCCCAATCTGAGGTAGGCATGGTGAACTTAAGGCAAAGACTAAGAAGGACTCTACGAAAATATTCTTTGATGATGATTTCTTCTCGTCCCAAATTTGGTGGGAACTGTGGAAAACCCTTGATGTCATCTGTAGTCACTTTACTGCCTCCTGCAACAAACAGTTCTTTGATGTCAGAGTACATCTCTAAGACCAATCAACAGATACCGGCTATTCCATCATGGACAGTAAAGTTCCTTATCACTCTCATCTTCTGATCATAAATAAAGGAACAACTGAGTATGTATCTGTATTCTTTCTAAAATTCAAGGAAACAATCCTCACAATCCTTGCTGTCAATTTCATGGGAAGCCGATAATCTGCAAGGACACTAACTACACCATTGTAGAAGTCATAATCAAAATGGTGACATCTTTGAGAAGTGTGACAAATAAACAACCATTGAAATCATTAGAACTTCTTTGAAAACCTGAACAGCAATATAGGGACAATGGCTAGTCACTTCATGTAAGGTTACAGAGAATTGTTGTAAGAATATTTTAAATCTAGTTACATTGATGCCTTAACTAAACAATAGTCTTTACTTATTCTATTATTACTATTGTGTATTTTGTCTGGCAATTTAAAAGTTGTGTTTAAAAGTTACAATTTCCGAAAAATTTGGCTAATCCAAGTTTACAAGGTGGTGGCTTAAAAGTTATTTTGCTCAGAAGATGGCAACAAAAATAGGGTAGCATTGAGAGAGACAGTGCTTGCAAAGATTTTTCGATGATGACAAAAACTAAAACATTATGGTGTAGTCAGTTGTTCTTATAGTATTTACGGTGAGGTTGGAATTGATGCATGATTACTCGCATTTCTGTAATGCATCTGATCCCAAAACTATCTGTGAAAGGGGAAATAAAAAATAACACACCAGTGTTTTTACTCTGCACTTCTATTTGTGTGTCAAAGAGAAATTTAGATAATGTTTCGACCTTTTAATTTAGGAAGTTATGGCCTTGCTTTCAATTTTTCAAGATTTTAAGATGAGAAAAAGCAGCTACCTACAGGTGGAATTGTTGTTTCCTTCTTTAATGGTCTTTGCAACTTGTTGTCTTGTCGAGTTGGTCCGGGAGCACCTATACTGGCTGATGTTTTCCTTTGACTGTGCCTGAGTGTGTTAAGCGGCCAGTGTTTGCTTTTAAGGACTTCATGTTGCCCAACAGACGTACCGTTCCACAGTGTCCAAACTGACTCCTGTTCCTCGACAAATTCCCTCCACCACTTAAGTTGAGCGTACCTCATTCTTTTGGAACCTGTCTTGGTCTTTACCAAAAGATCATCAAGCTGTATACCTTCTTTGCATCTAGGAATTGTTTGGTCCAGAGACGTTATACCCTCAGGGATTGACCCTAGAATCGTAAGTGGTTATCTGTGAGGTAGCCAGGTGGCATCGGTTGCCAAATTTTTATACTACATCTGAGTCTTTCTGTTCTCTCTGATGAAAAACCTGAAGGCGTGGGGGTAAAAATTGTTTTTCATGGAGGGGATGTGCTCTCCCATTCATTCAGAGATGTCAAATACCACCTTGAGTGCTTGACACTCCATCATGGGTTTATACGCCTCCTTGATTACATTGACGCATTTCTTTTATTGAGTTTTACAGCAATTCTGCTGAACACCTTCAAGCGAAAAGCATAGTTATCTTGTATCAATAATGGTTATGATAATAATAACATTAAGATTTATTCTCAATATCATCATTATCTGTTACCTGATCAACATCTTCATGGGTGTGCCTGACCATAAGGAAAGAAATGTAGATCTATTAAAAGAATAATAACTTCCTTTAGATACTCATAAGGGGTCTCTTTATAAGAAACACCAAAATACAAAAGTTACACCAAGAGATACAGCTACACCTTGTAGAAAATGCAAAACATTATTTACCTCCTTAAATATCCTCATTTCTATCAAATAGGAAAAAGCCATTATGTATGGGTTCTTGCTTTCCCTGTAGCAATTGTCCATCTGCAACAGCAAACATTGGGGCAGGCAGCCACCATTCCACAAAAAACAAAAGAAGTAAAAAAAAGGGATCAAAATGTGTTACTGTGCAAATAGTGCAAAAAGTTCAGCAGCAAGCTTGAATTGAACAGGAGCCTGTTAAAGTGGTTTGAGTATGACAAAGTACATATAGAAATTTGAAATGCAAAATGAGCCTTTGAAAAAAATTACAAGATGTACATATATTGTTTACTAAATTGCAGTGCGGCATATTACATGAATTGCAAATTAAAAAAAAGATGAGAATAAAAATGTAACCACAAAAGAAACTGCATTATTACCTGCAGAAGCTGGAATCCACTATACATCAATAGCTCTGGAAACTAAACAAGGCCAGAAAAGGGTATTTCATTGTTCATACAGCCTTGAGTGAAGAGGAAAATTTGCCTTGGTCTGGGATGGACCTTTGTAATGTTATACAAAATGAACATGTGGATGAGAACGATTGGTTCTGTATTGTTGGTTGGACTTTATCTTGATGACACTGAGCCAAACCTGAGTACACATGTCGAACTAGGGACAGGAAAGACTCCAACTCATTCTTAATTAGTTTGATAATGTGGTTTCTTGATTTGTCCATTAATCTTTTCCAAAAAGAAATAAAACTCAAGGAAACAATCCTCACAGTGTTCACTGTCAGTTTCATGGGAAGCCAATAGTCTAGAAAGATACTGGCTACATCTTAATTGTAGTTGTAATCAAGATTGGTGACATCTTCAGAAACTTAACAAGCGAATGAGCCATGAAATCATTGGAACTTATTTGAAACCCTAAACTGAAATGTCAGGAAAATGACCAGTTGTTGTTAGAGATTTACTGTGAAATACACAATACATCAGGACAAAGTGTATTATACCTCAAAATGCTAGAATCCATCTTGCAGCAGTACCTATGGAAATTAAAGAAGGATAGGAAAGGCTTTTCCATTGATTCCCAGATAGCCTTAAGTGAGGCAGAGAATTTACCTTGCTCTGGGAAGGACCTTTGTTATGTTACGTGAGATGGAAATGTAGATGAGATGATAAAATTGATATTGTTGAACTCTGCGTTGATGAAACAAAGCCCAATCTGAGGTAGGCAAGGTAAACTTGTGGCAAAGACTAAGAAGGACTTCACTTCAATGATGGATGTGTCTCTGATGGAGCTTGAGCAAATATTCTTTGATGATGATTTCTTCTCATCCCAAATCTGGTCAGAATTGTAGAAAACCCTTGATGTCATCTGTAGTCACTTTACTGTCTCCTGCAATAAACAGTCCTTTGATGTCAGAGTACATCTCTAAGACCAATGAAGAGATACCAGCTATTCCATCATGGACAGTAGGGTTCCTTATCACTCTCGTCTTCTTATCGTTCTGGGAAAAAAAGCAAACTACTAATCATAAATATAGAAACAACTGAGCATGTATCTGTACTCTTTCTAAAAGTCAAGGAAACAATCCTCACAGTCCTTGTTGTCAATTTCATGGGAAGCCTATAATCTGCAAGGACACTAACTACTCCGTTACAGAAGTCCTAATGAAAATGGTGAAATCTTTGAGAAATGTGACAAATAAATGACCATTGAAATCATTTGAACTTATTTAAAACCCTGAACAGCAACATCAGGACAATGGTTAATCCTTTCCTGTAAGGTTAGAGAGAATTGCCAGAACAATATTTAATTAAATCTAGTTACATTGATGTCTTAACTAAACAATAGCCATTATTTATTCTATTATTACTATGGTTATATATTTTGTCTGGCAATATAAAAGTTATGTTTAAATATTATTATTTACTAAAGAGTTGGCTAAACCAAGTTTACAAGCTAGTGGCCTAAAAGTTATATTGCTCAGAAGATGGCAAGGCTTGGCAACAAGAACAGGGTAGCAATCAGGGAAATAGTGCTCGAAAAAAAGTACATTTTTGGTGCTTTTCTTGATTGTCGTGTGGTCTGATATGTTAAATTAAGAACTGTGGTTGTTCGCACATGTTTTAATATCAGCAACACAAGCCCCTCTTGATAAATGTATACACCTAAACTCATAAAGTGTTGTTTTAAACTGTCAGAATTTTCTTTTTAATAATTGACTTTGTTTCTCTAGAGATATATTGTAGATAAATTTAGTAAAGAAGAAGACGAAACTTAAGTGAAAGTAACAAACTGTTAATACTTTGAATGGCTTCTGCTTCTTATCTCTTCCCTTTTAGCTATTATGAAATTTTGATGTTCACAATGGTGGTCATAGTGTTCCTGTATGGCTGCTGTATTGTTTGCTGAATGCTAATGAGTTCAAAACTGTGTGTAGTACCTCTCTAGAGGAAAGGTGTCATACTCTATTAATTTGACATAGTACGGATAACAAGGAGGAGCTAAGTGTATATACATGATCATTAAAAGACATGTTTGAGTCAAGTATAGTGCCTTCGTGTTGAAGATTCTTCATTTCATGCAGACTGGGCAATGTTGGGAGATCAGCCAATGATGAGAGAGTTGGATTTCAAACTTTCTCTTTGTCAAGCCAGTATGCTGTACCATATGCCTTAAACATGAGGTCATCTCTGTCAAGTTTCTTTTCCTGCACTTTTTTAAAATGAAATATAGAGACTTTTCCCTCTGTTTGAGACTCAATAGGATCTTTGTGTTCCTGGATCATGTCGTAAACAGATTACAGGGTGTTGAGTTGAAGATTTTGTGTCGCTTGCATAAGGAGCTTAATATTACTTTTCCTTCATACTAAGCTAGACCCGATTTCGTGCTAGTGTTTAGGTTCTTATGAAGCAACCATTTGTGCAAAAATCTGTCCTGTCTAGGCCTAAGCTGAGATCGTTTGTGAGCTGATTGGTGCTAGTAATGGTATCTAACATACTTGTAGAGGTTGTACATAATGGTCTCTTTTGAAAGGGACAATAGTGCTTTGACCTCTTTCATAGTCAGAGCTGTGTCTTTTGAAAGGGGAAATAGTGTTTCGACCTCTTTCATAGTCGGAGCTGTGTCGTTATGTGATTTCTCAACGTTTTGCATCACCTCTTTTGGTTGCAATATTGTCATACTTTCCTCCCTTGGTTATTGAGAAACTATTAGTTCACGTCTACTCTAACTTTGAACATCTTTACTTGCTTTGTACTGACATAAGCTGTTCTCTGAAAGTTTCTTAAGCTCAATATGCTTTACTTCTCACCCCTCTATTTTCACTTTAATTAGTTCTTGGTGATACTTCCGGAATAGCTGTTCTGTGTGCCAAGGACTACGTTTGCCCGTTTTCTGAAGTGTTCAGGTGATCACACTGGGGTGAAACAAAGCATTTGCCCTGATGTGCATCTCCTCTTGGTACTTGCTTTTATGTTGTGCAACATCTACACTGAGCAGATCTTGAAGTCTGTAGCCCTCAGTAGATTTGTGAGGAGGAATGTCAAGGGCTTGGAAAAGCTTAACAACAGCAACTGCACCAATATTGAAATGAGAAACTTCTTCATACAGTCCTCATTTTAATGTCACTTCCAATGTTAATTTCTTTTGAAATTCTCTGCCTCACCATCTCATGCATAAATCCATTTTGATTCTGTTTCTTGCTATGATCGAAGGCAGTTGTGCTGTAAGTCATCCTCTCTTAGTTAAAAATTCAGGTCTAGCTTAGGAATAACCATGCCTGATATTCCAGAAAAGTTTTATCCATGTGGTCTGAGGTTTACACTGTTTACATCCTTGGCCTAGGGGCCTCCACATGGCAACAACCATTGTGTGACAAGTAGCCCTTCTAAGTGATTTTTGAATTTGGCATGCCTTCTGTTAATGCTTATTTCCCAAAGGAACATCGCAGTTCCTCATTCAGTTCGTTCTTGCCATCAGCTGAAAAGAAATACTGGCTGGTGGGAGAATGTTTGCAATACCTATTCAGATGCAAGGTTCAAGAAAACCTTCAGAGTTCCCGGGGAAAATTTCATTTCATCCTAAACCGTATTGCACCCTTACTTGTTTGTGTACATATTCATGCATATATGATGTATATTCATCAAATTATCAATGAATGTAACAACTACATCAAGATTCACTGTACTAACAATTTTCACTTATGTTTAATTATCTCATTTATTGTATCTTAGGAACATAATTATGTGATTCCCAAATCATACGCCATTTTTTGGTATTACTTTTTAACATATGATCACTACGTATAAAATAGAATTAATTTACATTTTCACAATGTAAACATAAAATTATCAATAAACATAACTACATTAACTTTCTTTGAATTGACAACTTTTCTTTTATTCAACATCTCATTCTTTGTGTTCTAGCTCTTAATTGATCAACATAGAAGGACATTCGGTATGTACTGTACTAAAATGTAGAGCCAAGTTTTTTTCCTTAGATACATTTTAGTTAGAAATCTAGGAAAAAGGAAAGCCTTTTAGAATTGTAACCGGGATTAAAAACTTTTAGGTTTTCAACTCAATGAATCAACTCTCCATTGATTCCCCGTGCCCTTGGAAGAGCAAGCATCACAACTCCTGTTTGTGCTTCTACAAGGAAAGAAAGTAAATAGTGTCTGAAAGCTGACATTCCTATATCTTTCTTGAAGAGGTTGAATGGGTAATAAATTGCAATATACTCATTTGTAAGACAACTTTAAGGATGTTCAATCACAATCATTAATCCAATCTCTCCCTTAAATTACCTCTTATCTCAGACTGAGCCTGAACAGTCTCATACTTTCACTTACTGAAAGACCAAACTGTCTTTTTGTGGCCCATATAAAGCTCCTATCACTTATGCCACTGTTATATGTATCTTTTCAAACGAAACACTATTAATATTTTTGGTTTCTGTCCCTCTTAGATTGTTACTTTCTTTATCGAAATGTTATGTTAAGTAAGCATGATCACGTAGCTCATAGTCATCCTCTTCTTCACCCTCTAAAACATTGTTGGCATGCTCTTTTATGAAGTTTTCCAACTTTGGAAGAGTGTCCCAATAGACTT